TGATACTGCATGCCACGCCAGCGTTGAACCAGCCACTGAAACCAGGCGTTGTAGCACATGCCTATAATCCCAGTGCTGGGGAGGCTGAGACAGGAGGATCACTGTGAATCTGAGCTGTGTAGTGAGATCCTCTACCAAATAAGTAAATAAATAAATGATTTTAAAAAACAAAACCTGGAGCCAGGGAGATGGCTCAGTAGAATAAGCGCTTCCCTGGCAAGCGCAAGGGTCTGAGTTCAATCCCCGGTTCCACCAAATAAATACATACATACATACATACATACATACATACATACATACTTTTCCTCCTTTAACTTATGGGCGTCAGGTACTTTGTCCCAACAATAGAGCAACAATTTAAGACAAGACAGTACATTGAGATATGCTGATATCCTGATTTTCATTATATTTTCATCCATTAATCATAACATTCATTGATGATTCAGTCTTGCAGTGATTATTAACTATCATTTTTCCAAGTGACATTTTTATGTCTATTCTCCATTTTTAAAATTGGAAGTTTATTATGAAAATAATGTGTCCATATTTGTTATTTATGGGGGTCATTTGTGTTTTGTGAAGTTACTTGTCAATTTCATGGCACAAATAGGTAGCTAATCTTAGTATTACAGTTGTTAGGTTTAGTTGTGGTTAATTCAGGTTAGCTTTTCTGAAACATTCTGTTCTCCCACCATTGATTACCTTATGGGTAGTCAATAGTGTTGATAGTTGACTTTTTAAGATTCAGAAAGATAGATGATAGTAGTACTTATAGGAATATATGGCCTAAAAGTAGGAGCAAAAAGGTAACTATTTTGGACATGTATTTATCTAGTATTTGGGAGTTAATAGACAGTGTATGTGAGGATATAGCGGAATGCTTAATAGAAGGAGGAAAATGACTGGGAGAGAAGGGATGAGGCTGTGGCTGTAGTGGGCCAATAGGATGTGTGAGCATCAGGTGTTACAGTTTAAGGACTAAGAGGATTAGACAGCAATTAGGTGATGTTGAGCAACATTTCAGGAGGGTTTTGTGTAAAGTATGCTAGTTTGTAGTGTGTTAAAGCCTCATAAGTCATAGGTAGTTTCTCTTAGTTTTATTCTGCATTGGAACAGTCATGCATGTTTTTACTAGAGAATGGTAGTCATGGGATCTCGAGAAAGTTACATAACTCCCTACATTTTCCCCCCATCTACTTAAATAGGGTTATTATTTCTCACTGAGCCTGATAGTTGCCCTTGTAATCTTCCCATTTACACTTTTGGACCCCTTTTGTCTTTTCTTTATGGTGTGGTCTTGCCAAAAATGGCCTGTTGTATCAGTATCTGCTCATTGGAACTTAAGTGGGCTCATAACTTGCACTGGCTTATGTTACCTACTATCTGCTGCCTTCATCTTTCTCTGAAACTTTATTTGTGCTCATGTCCTCAGCTTGGTCTACTCTTCTTGCATGTGCCTTTTCAAATGTCCTCCAGTTCTATGGCCTTTCTGGTCTGTACCTGTAAATTGGAACTCTTCTTTCTGTGCATAATGGCATCACTCCCTTCCTTGCCTCCCTCATATAAACCTGTGCTCAGAGATCACTGGCAGAATGTCCTTGACTGACTACTCTATAAAACAGTATTCTGTTACGTAGCATTCCCTTTATGTTGCTTGTCTTTGTAACATTTCACAGATTTGCGTATTTGCTGTCTGACTTGTCCCAAGATCACAAGCTTTTTGAGACCAGCACTTTGCCTCTCTAGCTGTGTCTGAGATGTATGTAATCCGTGCTAAGAAAGTTTTGGTTTTTTTTTTTTTTAGTAAAGACTAAAAATTACCTTTAGAGACTATTTATTATGGTATGATAGTAACTGTTCTAGCAACGTTCAGTTTACAGATTCATTGGTTCCTGTAATGTGCTTATGAGGAAATTGAGGCTCAGAGAACTATGGCTGACAGTGAGGCTGACAGTGCATAAGGAGGGAATCACAGTCTAGGCAATCTTTCTGTTTCTTTCTTTCTTATTTTTCGTGTGTGTGTGTGTGTGTGTAGACAGGGTCTTGCTATGCAGCTCAGGCTGTCCTTGAGCTCACTTTGTACCCTGGGCTGGTCTCTAACTCTCAATTACCCTCCTGCCTCAGGTGTGTGCCGCCACACCCAGCAGTCGGGGCAGCCTTGATGGAGAATACACATTCTGTTTCTTAAAAAAGAAACTTACTTAAATTCCTCTGATGTACTAACTATTCAATAAATACTTAGTTGATACTAGTATTATCGTTAGAGCATTAGGATGCTGGTTGTAGACTACCCATTGTTTGGATGAGGATCTCAGTCATTTTATCTTTCAATGGGGGTAGCATTAATAGTGTAAGCTGAAACCCTTCTAGAGTGTCTTTGTATCCTGAGAATGTACCACTTGAGTGGATTATTTACTCTTGATGAGCATAATTTTTTTCCCAAAATTTTATTGATAAACAGCAATGAGACAGTTTCAAATCAAATCGGAAGTACAGTTT